GACGCGCCCCCCCTTCCCCGCCGGGCCGCAGGCGGTGTGGCAGCCCCTGGTGTGCCGCCCGTCCCCGAAGCGGGGACCTGCGTCTGGGGAAGGAGAGGTGTCGGGCCCGGGCGGAAACGCTTTGGGGAGTTTCCTCTGGGAAGTAAAACCTTAACGCTCGTCTTGGCAAAACAGGCTTCTCTGAGCAGAGCTCCTTCTCCCCCAGGTACTACATGCAAGGAGTGTGCCGGGAGGGGAACAAGTGTCTGTTCTCCCATGATTTATCTACAAGCAAATCCTCCACCATCTGCAAGTATTACCAGAGGGGACAATGCGCCTATGGAGCTCGGTGCAGGTAAAGACCTGGCTCTCTGCGGAAGGGTGCATTTGGAAGAACTGGGCGTAATAATCACGTGTGGTCAGCTTTAGCCCCAGGGAATCCAAGATTGAGAGAATAGAAGATGATGGAGGGAACGAAATAATATTATAAAATATGAGCTTTTTCTCCCAGTACCAAAAGCAGCTTATGGATCCAATAGTACAGTTTTAGTCTGTCTTGGCTTCAGTAATGATTTTACTCTGTAGAAGTTAACCTTCAGGTTTCATGTGTGGTTTTCATCCAGTTCTTACTATAGGAAGAGCTATTAAACATAAAAAATAGAGCCTGCAGCTTCACATGAAATAGCATTTGGCAGCATGGTTTCCTTTCCGTGTGACTGAAGTGGCTGGAAGCAGGTGGCGCTTCGCTCCGTTCTCCCGGTGTAGCTCATAGCCTCCTTCGTGCAGATTCCAGTGCGCAATTTTGAGGACCTCCAGTTCTGTCTTGGAGCAAAGTGTTTTTCTTGAACTCGTGTTGGTTTGGTGGGGAGACTGAACAGTACAGTGCCTTTTCTTGAAGTCTTCTGGTTAAAACTAAACGCTCTGGTAAATACCATGCACTAGGTAACATTGGTACCTTCCATCAGGGTTTGTGCCCCAGGGCAGCCCCTGGCTCCTTCCAGGAAAAATCCTTGTCATGGGCAAGAAGCCTGCATTTGTACCTTCCCTTGAGGAGACCAGGGGATCTGACAGCTTTCCTTGCGCCGGCTTAGCTGTGTTTCCTTCCCTTTGCTTAGTTCGTGGTACCAAACTTGGATCAGGAGATTGAACCTTGAGTGATTTCTGCAGCTTCCATTAGCTGCTCGCGTTGGATTAGGGATGCACCATGTTTCTGACGGCCTGGTTATTTGTGTCATAACTGACTGGCCCATAATGATGGCTGCAAAGCGTGTGGTAATTTTACTCCGGCTGTTTTGTTGGATTTTGGGGCACTCAATGCATGCAAGTGATTCATGCGTATGGCAAGTACAGGACCAGAAACTTACGGAGGATATTTTTGTTCCCATCAAATATACGCTAGCGTTTGGATACGTCCATGGCTTTACTGGACCAGCCTCTTTACTGGACCAGCCTCTTTACTGGACTGATTGCTTCTGCTCTGCTGCTGGAGTACATTTCCATAGCTTTACTGATGTTTCGAGCCCTTTCCTATCCCATATTGTATTGGGTTTGTGTAGCAAGGTCTTGGTAGTGGGGGGGGCTCCAGGGGTAGCTTCTGTGAGAAGCTGCTAGAAGTCTTCCCTGTGTCTGCTGCTGGCCAAGGCCAAGCCAGTCAGCAACGATGGAAGTGCCTCTGTGCCTGCAGCCTGTGGTGAAGACCATGGTGAGGCAGGCTGTCCCCCTGCAGCCCATGGAGGTCCACAGTGGAGCAGATCTCCACCTGTAGCCCATGGAGGACCCCATGCTGGAGCGGGTGGATGCCCAAAGGAAGGAGGCTGTGACCCCATGGGGAGCCTGCGCCAGATCAGGTTCCTGGGAAGACTTTGCAGACCCATGGGGGAGGAGCCCACGCCGAAGCAGGTTTGTTGGCAGAACTTGTGACCCTGCAGGGGACCCACGCTGGAGCAGTCTGCTCCTGAGGGACTGCACCCCATGGAAATTATGGACCCATGCTGGAGCAATTCTTGAAGAACTGTAGCCCGTGGGAAGGACTCATGTTGGAGAAGTTCGTGGAGGACTGTCTCCTATGAGAGGGACCCCACGCATGAGCAGGGGAAGAGTCCTCCCCCGAGGAAGAAGAAGCAGCAGAGACGATGTGTGATGAACTGACCCCAACCCCCATTCTCATCCCCCTGTGCTGCTGGGGGGAGTAGGTAGAAAAAACTGGGAGTGAAGTTGATCCCAGGAAGAAAGGAGGGGTGGGGGGAAGGTGTTTTAAGATTTAGCAGTTTTTATCCTCTCCTTCTCTGATTTTGATTGATAATAAATTAATTTTATCAAGTTGAGTCTGTTTTGCCCATGATGGTAACTGACAAATGATGTCTCCCTGTCCTTATCTCGACCCATGAGCCCTTTGATCTACTTTTCTCTCCTCTGTCCGGTTAAAGAGGGGAGTGATAGAGTGGCTTTGGTGGGCCCCTGGTGTCCAGCCAGGGTCAAACCACCACACGTATGCAAATACTGCGTCTTCTATTGTGTGGGAGCATGAAGTTGAAGCGTGGCTGCTTGCAGGGATGACAAAACATCACTCCTTCCCGTGCAGCGTTCTGATGTTGCTTCTCTGAGAAATGCTAGCAAACCTGTTTGTGTGAGGGGATGATCTAATTTCGTATGCATGTGAATAATGTTCATTCAGCTGTGCTGGGTGTCTTGGAGAAGAAAATACAGGTGTGCTGTGGGAGGCATCCATTTTCTGAGGCTGAGAAACCCTTCGGTCTGTCTTTCAAAGAGGCTGAGTGGTGCAGTCAACCTGTTAGAACAATCCTTAAAAAAAAACCCAAACAACCTAGCTATTCAGTTTTATTTTGTTTAAATACTCATCGGGGGAGCTTCCCCGCCAGGGTGCCAAGTTTGGCCTTTGTAATGCTTGTTCTGCCTTTTCCCCCGTCGAAGGTATGATCACACCAGACTTCCTGCACCAGGGGCTGTGGCAGCCCCTGCGCCGCCTCCCCTCTCCTTGGCAGTGCTGCACAACCCTCACCATCCTCCCGAGCATGGTGCGCCCGTCATCAGGAGCAAACTGCACGAGACTGGCAAGCGGGAGAAGAAGACGCTAGTGCTGAGGGACAGAAGTGAGTGGGAGCGGTGCTGTTCTCGTCGTCCTTCGTGCTTACTAGGAGTGGGGTAGTTTTTCTCCTTTTATTACTTGAGTTTCGTCAACAGCTGGTGAGGTGCAGCCGGGCTTCCTACCTGATGAGGCCTCTTCCCTGGAAACCCTTGTGCCTGGCAGTTGCCGTTCAACGACTGTGTTTAGCTGGTTGGCTTTTAGCCTGGTGTTCCCTGAAGCATGGTTTTTGGTTTGGATTATTTTTTGGGGTGTCGTTTTGTTTTGGGGGGAGTAAAATTCCTCTGCACCTCAGATCTTTTTGTGCATTTTATTCTCAACGCGAGGGCACTTGAAATGGTGAGAAACCTGGCTGCTTTGTGCATGTGCTCTCTGGAGGGTTGTGCCAGCCCTTAGGAGCACCAGCGTGGAGGCATCCGTCCACACCTGACGGGCAGGGCAGAGGAGCCGAGCCCCGCTGCCACCTCTATGCTGTTCCCACCTGTTCTCACTGTCACAGCGAATGGGCTGCTTGCCCTAATGTGAAACGAGAGGGGTTTTTTAGCCTATTTTGTAAACAGAAAACAGCTGGAGAAAAGTTGAAATCAAACTTTTCAGTAAGTAGTTTGTGAAAATTCTTGTGATTTGTGAACAAAAAGAGCTTAGAAATGAGATTTCATTGAGAAGAAAACTTGAAAAAAAAAACCCCAAACTGGTAATCATTGGAAGGGAAGTATATGGAGCTGCTTGTGTGGGTTTTGTGCAGGGTCTCATGTGGTTCATGTTACATTTCTGTTTCGTCAGATCTGTGTGGACTGAATGAAGAAAAGCAGAAGCCCAGTGCCACAAGCGATGTGGTATGTTGCAGTGACCAGAATGATAATCTGGAAATGAAGCCCCATTCATATTTGGAAGCTATTTGCAGCGGACTGGAAGATCCAGTAGCTGGAAGCTCTTGTGCTGATGGAGAGCAGCTGTGTCCTTATGCTGCAGCAGGAGCGTGCCACTTCGGAGAGCGCTGCCTTTACCTCCATGGAGACGTGTGTGAGATCTGTGGCTTGCAAGTACTTCACCCCTTCAACCAAGAGCAGCGGAAGGCTCACGAGATGGTAACA